CATCGTAACTACCTGCCAAGGACGGTCGGGCGGTGGAATCGGCTGCAAAATTCCTGCCTTGCGTTGGCGAGAGGACTTCGTACGCTGACACGTGTCGCACGAGCGAATGTAATCCTCTACGTCTGTTGTAAGCCCTGGCCAAAAGTACGTGCGACTAAGCGTCTTAGCCGTCGTATCTGCTCCGAAGTGACCCGCGATAACTACATCGTGCGCCTCGGAAAGAAGAAGTTGTCGAAGAGGGTGGTAGGCGGGAACCCAAATCCGTGCTGTCCCCTTCCGAATGTAGACACTACCCTGCACCTCTGCTCCTGTGGGCGGCTGCGGTGTGAAGTCGGGATCTACTGTGTAACCGTGCTCGAAGAGTGATGTGGGAAGTGGATGGCCGGCAGTGACTGTGAGACTAGCGAGCTGGCAACTAGGGCGAGTGAGTGGATCTGCTGGGTTGCGAACGCCTGGCTTGTACTCTATCCTGTAGTGGAAACTCCCCTCCATTAACTCCATCCATCTAGCCTGGCGACGACTCAGCTGCAGCTGCGACTTAATAAAGCGAAGCGAGCAATGGTCCGTGCGTATCACACTATCTGCCCCCTCTAGGTAGCACCTCCAAACCTTATACGCATGGATGATTGCGAGCGCCTCCTTGTCGTGAATGGGATAGTTCAGCTCCGCTCCCCTAAGCTTACGCGACTCGTATGCTATTGGCTGCAACCCGCGGCCCTGGTCCTGAATAAGCACTGCTCCAATGGCCCAATCTGAAGCGTCGGTCACTACAGCGTACGGACGAGTGGGATCTGGGTACGACAATGTCGGTGAAGACGTGAGCGACTGCTTCATTTGCTCGAACGCGTGCTGCTGCGCTGGACCCCAATCAAAATCTACGCCCTTCCGAAGTAGGTCGGTGAGTGGACTAGCGATCGATGCATAACCCTGAAACGAAACGACGGTAGTAATTCGCGAATCCGAGAAAGCTCTGCAACTCCTTGACTGAGGTCGGAGCTATCTAGTTCTGTACTGCTGCGATCTTCTTCGGGTCGGTCCTAATGCCACTACCAGATACAACGTGACCTAGAAACTCGACTTCAGGGAGGAAGAACTCGCACTTCGACTGCTTAGCGTACAACTGCTCCTTCCGCAAGACCTCGAAAACCTTCTGCAAGTGCTGCACGTGCTCCTCTTTTGTTTTGGAGAAGATGAGGATGTCGCCTAGGTAGACTACGACGAATGAACCTAGGAACTCGGAGAGGACGGTGTTCATGAGCATATGAAACTGGGCGTTGGTCAAATCGAATGGTAGAACCCTAAACTCGAACAACCCCTGCTTCGTACGAAACGCTGTCTTGTCCTGATCCTTTGGAAATACTCGAATCTGGTGATATCCTGAGCGAAGGTCGATCTTTGAGAATACTCTAGCGCCCTGCACTCCATCTAGGAGATCCTCTACTCTCGGTACTGAGAATCTGTTCTTGACGGTGGCAGCGTTCAGTGAGCGGTAATCTATGCACATCCGTAACCCTTCGTCTTTCTTAGGCGCGAGAAGGATCAGTGCTGCCCAAGGAGATCTAGATGGCTGTATGAAACCCTGCGAGAGAAAGTGCCTAACCTGCTGCGTCATCTCCTCTGTCTTCGCTGGACTCAACCTCCACTACGGCTTTGCTACTGGTCTGCTTCCCGGCTCCAACTCTATCCGATGGTCTACTGCTCGGCTGGGAGGCAACCCTGGGGGCAACTCGTCGGGGAAGACGTCTGCGAACTCTGCTAACAGTGCACTCACCTCAGCAGGAAGAGCCGCCTTCTCACCAACTGCTGCACTCCCTCCTTTCCCCTCCTCAGCTTCCACCTCCTCAAGGAAAATCGCGAAGATCCGTGCCGCACGCTTCACCAACTGCCGCACACGAACAACATTGATGATAGATGTGGATGATGTGGCCCCATCGCTCCACTGTGGCAGCTCCCGGAACTCCCCGTCTACCTTGACGCTGCAGCTTCCCTGAGCCCAATCGAACAGTGTACTAACCGCCCGTAGCCAATCCCTACCGAAGATGAAGTCATAATCGTCCAGCGTCGCAGAGTCGAAGTCACGCCTAACCGTGATTGGTCCTAGCACTACGCACAACTTGCAGATGATTGGTCCTATGTGGAGAGGCGTCCCATCTACCATGCGTGCGTCTTTGAAGTTGACTGCCGAATCTGCTTCGAGATGGAGACGAGTAACTAGTGATAAAGAGACAAAAGAGTGGCTAGCTCCGCTATCTACGAGAATCTTGACCGGAACTCCACGAAACTTCCCTAGAAGCACGACTGGACGATCAACAGTGTCTACCTCGGTCGGCGTAGATGACTGCTCTAAGGCCGTCTCCTCTACGTTGGTAGACGTGGCGGGTTTGGAAGCGTCCACACCAGCTAGCGACCCGCTATCTACTGACGGTTTCCGTTTCCTTGATGTCGCTCCTTAAGCTGTGGGCAGTCCCACTTCATGTGTCCCGGCTTTTTGCAGTAGTGACAGTTCCCCCTAAATCTCGTTTTCTGTGAGCCGTCACTGTTAACTGCACCAATCTCCATGGGCGATGGTCCGTCCCTCGATCGAGTGTCATTGATCGGTCTGTTGTATCCCCTATCACGATCATCACAACCCCGTCGGCTTCGTACTGCGTCGATGCGTTCTGCTGCTGCGACTACCGACTCGAAGATGGACAACCCGTGAATCGCTATGATCTCCACTATGTCCGGCTTCAACCCTTCGAGGTAGCGATCGCGCATCTCTGCTTCCGTGATATCGTCTTTCTCGTTGCAGATGCTCAAGAACCGTCGTATGTAATCCTGGACTTTTCCTATCTGTCGGAAATTACGTAGACGCTTCCCAGCAGCTTCGGAGGCATTCACCAAATCGAATCTACTTTTCAGCGCCGCTTCAAATCCTTCCCATGTCGTCGGAACCGTGGTAACACCCAAAGCTAAAACTCCCAAGCTCGAAGTTGCAGCTGCATGCTCCTTGCCTGGTTGATGCCCGTCCAAATTAGCCCTTCTCACAGCACTTTGCGGGAGTTGGCGCCACCACTCCAAGGCCGGGCTCCTCAGCACCGTAACGGAGTACTCGATCCGCTGCTGCGCGTTCGCATCTTGCACCCCGCTCGCGGCGAAGTAATTGTTGAGCATGAAGATCCACGTCCGCACGTTCGCGTCGCGATGACTTGGGTCGAACGGCTCGGGCTTCTGCAGCTTGAGCGCGCTTCGACGTTCCGGCAGCGCTTCCGCGCCAGTCGACGTCTTGGGTGCAGGAGATGGTGCGGCATGACCAAGAGGAATAGACGTGAATTCACGAAGCTGTTGCATTTCAGCCTGTACCTGACAATTTTCCAGCGTCAACGTTTTGAGTTGGCGCATGAGTTGAGCAAGCGTGTTGCCCATGTTGTTGGGGACAGCGGTCATGGTTTCATCCATGTCGGCTCGACGACTCCAAGTCTGCAAGTCGGCACCGCGGGACGATGACGTCGTAGTCTCGTCGTCGAAGGTCGCTCGTTGGAAGTCGCTCCCCGCGAAGGCTCTTGATACCAAGTGTTAGGCCCCTTGGCCTAAATCCTGAAGGAATATATTAGAGAGCGTAGCGATAACGAGAGAGTTTCTGCTATGAGAATGATGTTGCGCCAGCAACTTGGTAGAGTCTCGGTAGAGTTTGCCTCTAAGGACTTAGTGAGGATTGAAGTAGCATTTGGGCCAAGTAGAATTGCAATATCAACTATGCATAAAAAAAAGCAAACACACAACTAGATATAGGCTACGGGAAGTTTTCACAAAGTTGGCGTGGCACTGCGCAGTAACCCAACCTCACGAAAGTGGTGTGCAGGTGTGTTGAACGCGCCTCGTAGGAGTTCAACCCAACTCAGCAGCGGAATGGTCCTTCTCGCACGCCACCCCAACCAACCAACTCCAACTAGGCAACACCACACAAGACAACCATAGACTTGCTAGGAAGTGGCACGCTTCCCAAGAAGCGTGCCCAAGACTTTACTAGACCAGCAGCACCCCAGCACGGACTTCATTGGCACTGCAGTAGTCGCGCGACATCAACGCACTCCTTGTGTTGGTGTCACTCCATGCCCGTCTTAGCGTAGTTGTCTTGCCAAGTCGTCGAGGGCCCTTGCTGTCGTAGGGCCCTCTAACAAATCCGCTAAAGATTAGCGAGGTCGACTAAGTCGAGGATGAAAGCGCGGCGGAAGACTTTGGCGAAAGAACTATTGGCGAAATAGGCGAAGATGTTACTGAGTAAAAGAAGAGATGAATGAGAATTGGTTGATATTGGGGAATACAAGCAAGGTTGATATAGCATGCAAGATCGAATGATGGAAATTACTTCGTGGGACTAGAAAGTAGAAGCAAGAAAAGTAGAGTGCCACGTGGCACAAGGAAATCAAGGAAGATAAGGATAAGGGTGAGTTGGAAAGTACTGTTCAAAGGGAATAGTAAATCCCCCCTTAACATGGGTATCTAGGTGCTGTGCTGTGGGAATCATTTGCCTAAACGTGGGATGGTTTACCCTGGTAACACATGCTGTTTAGGATCAGTGGCTAGTTAGATGGACGCTGCACCTTTCCAATTTTTGTTGGTTTCTCGCCCGTATGCAACTCAGACACCCAAAGATATGATGATGACCAGCTAGATACAGTACGAGTTTTGTAACCAAACACCACCATACCGAAGCCCTCTAGCCACTTGTGTATCCACAACAACAATGCTTGTGCACAGTGGATGGTGATGTTTCGTTCCTAGCCACTTGGAAAGCCTACTTTGGTGCCCTTTCAGAAGTCTCAAAAGCCATCTTGATGAACAGCAGCCCTGTTCACCCAGGTGCCGTGGAAATGGTAGGGCACATGTGACTGCAGATGCACCACCGCCACCGGGGGTGCGGCCCGGCCACATCCCTCGCATCAAGTACCACCACATGCGTCCTGTGCCTGTGCCGCTACAGGAGGAGGAGCCGTGTTAAAAGTGCCTCAAAGATCTCCCTAATGCACGGCGGCCTTGGCCGCCCACGTGCCGTGAAAGTGATACGGCACGTGTGACTGCAGATGCACCACTGCTACCGGGGATGCAGCCACGTCCCTCGCATCCAGCACCACCACATGCGACCTGTGCCACGATGCGTCATACACAAACGCGGCCAGATACCCGTCGTCCTCCTTACTGGCGTCCTCGTTATCAGTGCCACTGTTCGGAATGAAGCTGCACTCGTTGACGTAGCAGCCAGGTGGCGTGACGTGAGTGGTCACTTGCCTTGTCTGCAGATCGTACTTCTGAATACAGTTCAAGTACCCATACTCACCCATCCCCTTCCCTTCCTCCTCTTCCTCATCCTCTCTCTCCTCCCTCTTGTCTCCCTCCTCTCCCTCTCCCTCCTCCCCGTCCACAACCTCCTCTGCCTGCACCTCCTGGCCTCCATACCACACAGCATCCCTCAACCCGCACTTGCTCCACCACTCCTCCCTCTCCCTCTCAAGCATGGACCCTAGCACATACAGATACCTGCTCTTCCGGCTTACATATGCAGGGTTCACTACGGCAAACTCCATGCCTACCACCGGGCCTCCCGTGCCAGGCCCAGAAGGCATGGCTCGGTGGCGGGAGAGGAGGTCCCACGTGGTGGTGTCAATGACGAGCCTCCACACGGAGGACTGGTGGCTGCGCTGCCATGTTATCCCGTACATGTCAAATACTCCCTCCAATGCATCCCGTGGACCATCCTGGTGGGGGATGGTAGCAAGGAGGGGCGGAAGAATTGTGGCATTGACTCTCATGGCATTGGATTGACTCTCATGGCATTGGATTGCCTCTCATGGCATTGGATTGCCTCTCATGGCATTGGATTGCCTCTCATGGCATTGGATTGCCTCTCATGGCATTGGATTGCCTCTCATGGCATTGCCTCTCATGGCATGGCATTGCCTCTCATGGCATGGCATTGCCTCTCATGGCATTGGATTGCCTCTCATGGCATTGGATTGCCTCTCATGGCATTGGATTGCCTCTCATGGCATTGGATTGCCTCTCATGGCATTGGATTGCCTCTCATGGCATGGCATTGCCTCTCATGGCATTGGATTGCCTCTCATGGCATTGGATTGCCTCTCATGGCATTGCCTCTCATCGCAGCGTGACAACCAGGGATCTCATTGCCTCTCTGTGGAAAATAATATCTCACACACGCTCGTGCATGGGACCTCCGGGCCCTCCCACTCACCTGCACCTCCTTCGCCTGCAATGAAATGCATCAGCGTGCAGTGAGGTACAGTGAGGTACAGTGAGGTGCAGTGAGGTATAGTGACGTGCAGTGAGGTACAGTGAGGTGCAGTGAGGTACAGTGAGGTACAGTGAGGTACAGTGACGTGCAGTGAGGTACAGTGAGGTGCAGTGACGTGCAGTGAGGTGCAGTGAGGTGCAGCAAGGTGCAGTGTGGTGCAATGTGGTGCAGTGAGGTGGAAAAAACTCATGGCGAAATGACTGGCCAGCTCCGTCAAGAGCACATGGACCCGGTCGGCCTCCCCGAACGTTGAACAAGTGGTAGTTGGAGAAGGGGGACTGCGGTGCAGTGAGGTGCTATGAGGTGTAGCAAGGCGAAATGAAGTGGGAGATTTCAGCAAGTGATGACTCACCAGCACAGTCAGCAGAACATGCAATCGATCACCCTCCTCATAGGCGTTGCAGAAGTGGTAGTTGGAGAAGGGCGGCCACACATTCATCTGCACCTCCACTGATAGACTCTCCTTCCCCACCACCACTACTCGAGTGGGCTTTGACTCGTCGTACTTGAACCTGTTGCCTAACGGCTGCTGCCCTGTTAGCATCTGTAGGCGGTAGGGGAGGAGGGGGAGGAGGCAAGAAACAAGTAAGAAAACGAGTATGGTGGGCTGTTGGTGTGTCAAAGCCCAGTGAGACTCGTTGTATGTGAACCAGCTGCCTAACAGCTGCTGCCCTGCTAGCATCTGCAGGTGATCGTAAGGAGCAAGGAGAGTGCATGGAGGTGATGGTGGAAAACGAGAGGGGTGGGTTGTTTGTGCACTGAGGTACAGTGAGGTGCTGTAAGGTGCAGTGAGGTGGGTGCGGTGGGGTATGCCGAGACTCATTGTAAGTTAAACTTTTGCCAGAGCAGCACTGCCCTGCTAGCATGTGCATGTTATAGTACGGAGCAAGGAGGACGCTCATAGTATGGAGCAAGGAGGACGCTCATTGGTTTTTCGAAAACTGGACAGCTTGCACGGAGCACGGCAGGTACGGTTACAGGTTGGAGCACATTGCCAGCATGTATCACATTTTTTAGGCGCCTCAAACATCGCCAGCATGTAAGATACCAAATAAGGGGGGTGTGCAAGACGACGGACTAGAATGGATGCAGCAGAGGGTAAGAGAAGGGAAGGGGGTGGTTGGATGACAAGGGAGGACAAGAGAGCGCATCAGAGAGACATCTCCAGCAGAGGCGGCGTAGTGGGGGGAGATGAAGGCGGGGAAGAGTGGCAACATGGCACAGTCGCTCACGACAGCCAGGGAGAGCAATTGAGGAGAAGGGAGGAGATGGGAGGGCAAGAAGAGCGCACCAGAGCGAGATCCCCAGCAGAGGCCGCGTAGGGGGGGAAGGTGAAGATGAGGAAGCGAGACGAGATGGCACAGTCGTGCACAAGATTGACCTCAGGCCAGCCCTGCAGGGCGCCCATGCGTTTGTGCTGCCCGTCCGCTGTGATTGCGAATGGCTGCATGCCGAACAGCAGACAACCAAAGTTGTACAGCTCTGGTGGCGAGAGGGGGCGGTGGGGCCGAGGAGGGTGTGAGAGGGGTATGGCAGGGGCAGGGGTGGTTCGCTTAGGGAAAGGTGTATGTGGGGATGAGTAGAGAAGAGGGGCAGGCTGGGAAGAAGAGTGGCCTAGCACTTGTTGGCTATCTGTGTCTCAACTGCTCTCACCGGCTTGCTCACTACCTGCTTGCTTGCCTACCTGCTTGCCTGCTTGCTTGCTTGCTTGCCTGCTTGCTTGCTTGCTTGCTTGCCTGCTTGCTTGCCTGCCTGCTTGCCTGCTTGCTGCCTGCCTGCTTGCCTGCTTGCTTTCCTGCCTGCTTGCCTGCCTGCTTGCATGCGTGCTTGCTTGACTGCTCGCCTGCCTACATGCTCAAGCCTCTCACCTCCAGTGGCGGGGTCGAGCTTGGGGTGGGCGGAGAAGAAGGGCAGTGGCAGGCCGGGGAAGGAGAAGGGACCGAGCGTGCTCAGGGAGAGAGGGTCCAGGAGGAAGGGCATACCTCCCTCATACAGAGCTAGCAGCTTTTGTGCGAAGTGGATGATGCTGGTGAAGGGCATGCGGGGTTGGAATGGAAGGTGAGGGAAAAGGGGGGTGAGAGTGCAGTGCGCGGCGAGAGTGGGCCTGGGAGGAAGGGCGGGTAGGCATCCCTCGCACAGAGCCAGCATCATTCCTGCGAAGTGGATGATGCTGGTGAAGGGGGTGGAGGAGGGGAGGATGGAAAGTGAGAAAATGAAGAGGGAGGGTGGGGGTTGAGCAGGGAGAGGGGTGGAGTAGAGGAGGAAGGATTGGCGGCTATCATCCAGGGCTGGCAATCTCTGGGGAAGTGGATGATGCTGGTGGGAATGGGCAAGGAGGCCGCGGGTGAGGGGGATTTCTGCGTAAACTATAAAACGAGGGCTATAAGAGGGAGGGAAAAGTGTAGGACAAACATCTCATAATCTCAACTGTTGGTAGGGCACTGTGATCGTTCCCCATTTGAGTGTGGGGGGGTTACAAGTGCGGCTTGGGGAGTAATGGGTGTGCTGCCCACCATACAAACATGCCTTTGTAACACAGTCGGTAGCAAGCTGGGAAAACAGTGGTATCAGAGCCAAAAATATCTCTCGGTTCAAATCCCAGTGTGCGCCAAGTGATCTCCAGTGCCCTAACGAGCCCAAAGTGAAGGGAGACAATCCCAGTGAGGGGAAGATTGTTGGTGGGGCACTTGGATCGTTCCTCAGTTGAGTGTGCGAGGGCCACAGGTGCGGCCTGGAAGGTAATGGGTATGCTACCCGCGATACAAACATGCTCTTTTAACCCAGTCGGTAGCAAGCTGGGCCAACATCAACATCGTATCCTCTCACCATCTCACATGTTGTTGACATCTCACTTGGTGTTGACGGGGTTAGATGGCGGCCCAACGTTCTTGAGCAGCCCTCCAGCAGTGGCCTGTGTCCAAACACCCTTCACCCGTATCCCCCTCTCCCCCACCTCTTCCTCCCCATCCCCCACTCGTTCGCCCCCCTCCCCTGCCTGCACCTCTGGCCCGCCCCGCTACTCCAGGGCTGCTGTGCGCACCCACTTGCAGACAAACCTTGCCGTACCGGTTGGGCCGTCCAGATGCAAGGCATAGACCTAGGAACGGGTGCGATGGACGGAAAGTTGGCATAGAAGAGGGCGCAGGAAGGAGGGGTATGTGTGTGAACGTGTGAACGAAATGAGGAGGTGGGAGAGGAGTGCACGTGTGGTTGAACGAGTGAATGAAGGGTGGAGGTTCAATAGTGCCTGCATTTCACGACTATTGAGGCGCCTCAAAAGTAGGTTCAATAGTGCCCGCATTTCACTACGCTTTGTCAACCCCATCGCATCGCCATCGCGCATGCTCCCCATGTCATCCCCACACAGCACACACTCCAAACACCCACATACCATCGCCATCAAACCAGTGGCCGAACTAAATCCCGCCTACTCGAATCCTCCCTTGCCCACAGCGATACAGTGTTTCCTGTAGCGCCTCTCACAGTGCAAGTACAATGTTTACCCTTCTCTCGCACACTGACAGCCCACACCCACCATGCCATCACCGTCGAACCAGTGGCTAAATTTGGTCCCGCCCACGCGAATCCTGCCCGGGCCACAGCGGTACAGCGTGCCCTGCAGCGCCTCTGGTATCCGCCCGCTCACGTGTGCAGGGTTGGAGGGGGAGAGGGTGTAGTCGTGCTCCCCACACGGCTCCAAACCCCCCCTCCACGCCTGCTGCTCTATGGCCTGGGTGGTGGGGGTGCGGAGGGGAGGGGAGGGGAGGAGAGGGGTAGGGACGGCAGGGAAGGGAAAGGGAGAGGAAAAAACATTCAAACGCGATGGAAAGAAAGAGGAGGATTACACGATTTATGGGAGATTTCTTTCATAAAAATTCAACACTGAAATGGGAGGGAGGGAAGGAAGGATGCTGCATCCCACCCTGCTCGTGCCCCCAGGAGCGACAGCTACCTAGTGCCACGGAGAGCTGCGAGGGTGTCGTCATCAGGGAGATTAACTTGTGGCAACCATGAGCCAGTTTTATTTGAATTCTTAGAAGCCTTTTAATTTTCTCAGAATCTGTAATGGTTTTACAACTTATGTTCCAAGCGGATTGGACAAGTCATTGTGGCTGGAGGGTCAGCACTAGGCCACATGTTGAGTTTCCCATGCTGGTCATAAAAATTTGCTGTAGATTTCTGTAGTTTTGCGTTGTGCCATTTTGATTATTTTTTTAAGCTACCAAAATCCATAATATTTGAACCCAATATGTTGGAAAAGTACCTCAAACACTGGTCATAACGTTATCCGCATACCCAAATATTTTTAGTAGGAGGCTTGGTCTTTTGTAATGAGATGGGTCATTCTGTATCGATTGAAGACTTGAATAAACAGCAGCTGGGAGTCTAGTTTTTGAGTAGTGACCGAGGTCGAGTTCGCGTTAGGGTAGGGTCACAACATTCTGGAGCCGTGCAACCCAACATATTGAGCCACGAGGCCATGGAGATTACCTGGCAACCTCAGGCTGCAGCCACAACACACTGTGATGTAAAGGACTCTCCTCTACTTTGCAGGAACTGGGAATTGTTCTAAACGATAGAGCTCTGTCTTAGCTTTCCAACGAGCCGTCAATTGCTTCGTTCGCCTGAGAAACGAGCGAGCTATAGCTGGAAACGTGAAGACTATGCTCTATGTTGAAGGATAGGAATCTCTCTGGATTTTGTGTTCGAATGCACTTCATACAAAGTGATTCAGAATGTTCAGTATATCATGCAATACAAAATCAAACACATTTATATGAACTGCAAAACGTCGAATCGCACATGTAACCTCGAACCGCGGTACACTCGAATGTTCGAGTAACATCGAAGGGGTGAAATTCGACTCTCGAATTTCACCGAATCGAATTCTCCCTGAGTCTCGATTCATCTTGTGTTGCCATGTGGCACCAATCGAGTGGGTCTTCCGAAGTCAACCCACACACTTCGTGAAACCTGCAGCTCTCTCAAGCGGTGAGCACCGAAACACATTCGGTGGGTTGGGGGCATATCAATTGCCCCACCACCGTTTGCTTCTAACTCACGCGACCTCCAACACACTGCACTCAAGCCTCTCTCACCAACACTAGAGACTCTCTTCTCTATGATACTATGGTGGTCCCCCGCATGGTTCATCCGCGCAGCGGCGCACCTGTTTAGCCCATGCGGGGGGTTTCAGTAGACCAGATGACGGCAGCGGAACGCGGATGGGTCGACAGTCACGCCGTGCGGACGGGAACTGTTGCGCGGGCTGCGACGGGGGAAATTTGTCTTCTGGGTCTTCTGCTGCCACTCTTCCGCTCCGTTTCCCGCCGCTGGTTCGAGTGCCGGCGCGACGCTTCGGGTGAGGGTACCGAGACGGAGCGGAGCAATGTGCGACGAGAAATGTGCGACGGCAAATTAGGACAATGTTCTTTGACCCTGCTGGCTTGTCGATGCGCGTTACTGGCAGGACAACAACGGCTGTCGAGATAAGCTTCGCGCAGTGGACATTTTGCACGAGATCATGCCTTTGCTGTCTTCACAACGAGATCAGTGATGCTGCGAGATTTAAACGCGGCGTGCAGTGAGCAATGCAGTTGTCCGTGCAGTGAAGGGCACGTCACTCGAGGTGCAAAGGCCAAAGCTTCATTACCTTATCTGTGAAGCAAAACTGGCATATGTGAATGTTAACTTTCTGTGAATGGAGGCTTGTGGAGGCTTTGAGAGTTCCGTTTTCCCTCATTGCAATGGAGCCGCAGCCCAAATTGCTCAAGAAGAACCAATCTTGCGCAAGGTTGAGTGCTTGGGAAGGTGAAAGCAGAGTCGAGCAGGTGGAAGAAAAGTTGGGCGAAACTTGAGCATAATCTCGCCCCGCGCAACGCCGTGGGTTCTCTCTTCAGAATGTTTGGCAGCGGATATGCTCGACCAATGTCGTTCGGGTTCAAACCGGGTTTAGGATAAGTTATCCTCGCACAACACCCATTCTTTCTCGCTAGGGTCTGACGAAATGCTCAGTGGCGATTGGTGGGTGAACGTGCTGACCTGAAGACAAACAGGTGCCTGGATTACAACATAGCTGTGACGAAATCCTGAACGAGGGGAAATCAGGGAAGGAGCCTGTGGGTGATTCGGCGTGAGGGAGTCATGTCACCGATGTCGTGGGTGGTGGCAAATAAAGTCGTTTGAGTCGCAATCGTACGGCGCTGAAGCAGCTGGCTGAGATCAATGGTAAGGAAGAATCCTTTTAGCAATGGGCCTGCAGGAATACTGGGAAAGCCAACCGCGTGAGAGAATAACGGCACTGCAGCATGCGGTTGGGCAGGGCATTGCTCCTGTCGCGGTATCCAAAACAGAGATCACTCTACCTTATGTCCCACGCTTTCCGCGCACGCGTCATTTCGGTCATTGTACAGTAGCTGGCTGACCATACATATCAGGGTTAGACCGTTTTGTTGTTTCTCGTCTCACGTCCAGTACCATGTCTACCAATCAGGGCTCTCTTTTCATTTTAGGGCACTCTTCCAAATCAGGGTTCCCGCCGTCCGCCACCCGGCCAAGCCGAGTGGCTAGCGGCAAAATCAGGGTAGTGGCAGGGTTTTTTTTTGCCACACCTGATTTGTGGCAGGGTGATTTTTCCGAGGACCCTGTTTTGCCACAAGTGTTGTGACTGGCACAGCACGCTCTACAGCTGTGTCTGCGAGTTTTCTTTTAAACAGCAGAGTTGGAGTTCGCCAAATCAGCCCAATAGGATCACAGCACCGCTCTACATCTGTCTCTGCGAGCCTCAGTACGTTTTTTCACGACACACATGGTGTTCAGCGGAACGGCCCATGGGCTTTGAGGTGTTTCGTGAGCTGAACACGTACACAAAGTGGCCGGGTGTTTCTTGAGGAACTCCTCACGTGCAGGGTTAAAACCATGGCAAGCCTGCTTCAGCCGTATAAAATTAAAAGGCACTGGGATTGTGGCCGGGTGATGTCCTGGGGGGACCCAGTTTTGGCAGGGTCGCACCAAAAAAACGCCCTGTTTGGCAGGGCAAACAGGGTAAAACACCCTGAAAAAGGGAGCCTTGCTACCAATGATATCCACCTGTGAACCAATAATGTTGTCGCACGCAACCACGTTGGTTCATAACAGGCCACCACGTCACCAGTTGATTGAGACACCTAAACTATGCTCCAGCCAATAACACCGAGCCGCATCGTACTATCGAAGTGATCAAGCTCAATTGAATGGTTTAGGGCGAACGGGCTTAATTTTGCTTGCTCGAAACTGTATGTATACTGTAACCCTAAGGGTGCGTTCTTGGCCTGTGTCAAGTTTCCTGACACAAGGCTATCGACAGCTCAGATCTTTCCACATCATCATCTATCAAATCCAAACCCTTCACAGCTTCATGTCAGCCTGCCTGACACAGGCCAAGAACGCACCCTAAGCCAGTAGGCAAAATATGACCCCCTCCTCTTCCTTTCTAGTTGGGTCCACTTGAATCTCTGGGAAGGCACAGGGTTGAAAGAAAAATGAACTGGCATACCAGACTAGCTCTCAGAAAAAAAACCTGTCGTATTGCAGTGCAGACCTCACATGCACAGCGCATATGCCATGGCAATGGCATGTCACACGTGAGAGCAGCAGATGAGGTGAGTTCTGAGTCGACCCGAAAGTCACAGGCCATGAATGTGGCATGACATATGCCATGAAGTTGGCATGTCACACGTCAGTGCAGCAGATGCACCATCGGAACGGTAGTCTTGATCGTGAAACTGCCCGGCACATGCACCACCACCACCAGGGCTACACATCAAACGCCTACCTGATGCACGGTTGCCTCAGCAACCCAGGTGCTGTGAATACGACATGGCGCATGTGCATGCAGATGCTTTACAGAAACAGTAGTGCTATGGCTTAGAAGTCTGTTTCAAGGTGTATCAAAGCATCCCCTGACGAATGGCAGCCTTGGCTGCCCATGCGCCGTGAAAGTGGTACAGCACGTGTGACTGCAGATGCACCACTGCCACTGGGGTGCGGCCACGTCTCTCGCATCCAGCACCACCACATGCTACCTGTGCCGTGATGCATCACAGCATGGTAGCCTTGCCAGCCCAGGTGCCGTGGAAATGGTATGGCACATGTGACTGCAAATGCACCACTGCTACCGGGGGTGCGACCACATCCCTGGCATCAAGCACCACCACATGCGACTTGTGCCGCGTTGCATCATACACAAACGTTGCCAGATACCCGTCATCCTCCTTACTGGCGTCCTCGCTTTCAGTGCCACTGTTCGGAACGAAGCTGCACTCGTTGACGTAGCAGCCGGGTGGCGTGACGTGAGTGGTCACTTGCTTTGTCTTCAGATCGTACTTCTGGATACAGTTCAAGTACCCATACTCAGCCATCTTCTTCCTTTCCTCCTCCTCACCCTCTCCCTCCCCCTCCTGCTCCCCCTCCTCTCCCTCCGCTCCCTCCTCACCCTCCCCGTCCTCCTCGCCCTTCACTCCTGCTCCTCCATACCACACGCCATCCCCCAACTCGCCGTTTCTCCACAGCTCCTCCCTATCCCTCTCTGGCATGGACCCCAGCACATACAGGTACCTGCTCTTTCTGCTGGTGTAAGCCGGGTTAACCACGGCAAACTCCATGCCTAGCACCGGACCTCGTGTGCCAGGTTCGGAATGCATGGCTCGGCGGCGGGAGAGGAGTTCCCAGGTGGTGGTGTCAAAGACAAGCTCCCAGACAGAGCACTGGTTGCTGCGCTGCCATGATTCTCCATACATGTCCTTGAACACCCCCTCCAACCCATCCCGTGGCCCATCCTGGTAGGAAGGGAGGCGAGCAAGGGGTGGTCGAGGGAAAGAATGCACACAAACATGAAAATCACACAGAGCACTGGTTGCCGCGCTGCCATGATTCTCCATACATGTCCTTGAACACTCCCTCCAGCCCATCACGAGGCCCGTCCTGGTGGGAAGGGAAATGAGCAACAAGAAATGGGCAATAAGAGGTGGGCAAGGGACATTCGAGCAAAAGAATGTAGAGGCATCGATTTCACACAGAGCACTGGTTGCTGCGCTGCCATGCAGCTTGTGACGACTCACCAGCACGGTAAGCAGCACGTGCAGCTTGTCACCCTCCTCATAGGCGTTGCAGAAGTGGTAGTTGGAGAAGGGCGGCCACACGTCCATTTGCACCTCCACTGACAGACTCTCTTTGCCCACCACCACCACCACCCTCGTGGGCTTTGTCTCATCGTACGTTAACCTGTTGCCCAGCGGCTGCTGCCCTGCTAGCATCTGCACGTGATATGGGAATGAGGAGGGCGCATGGAGAATGAAAGAAAATAAGTACGGTGGGCTGTTGGTGTGTTGAAGTCCACTGAGACTCGTCATACGTGAACCTGTTTCCCAGCGACTGCTGCCCTGCTAGCATCTGCACGTGATAGGGAACGATTGGGGTGCATGGAAAGTTCTAAGGAGACGAGTATGGTGGGGGCTGTTGGTGTGTTGAGAAGCACCGAGACTCGTCAGGTGCCCAATGACCATTGACTCGTCGTATGTGAACCTGGTGCCCAATGACTGCTTCCCTGCTAGCATCTGCACGTCTTAGGGAATGAGTCTGGGGCAAAGAAGTTTTCACAACGAGAAGGTTTGGCTTCAGTTCAGAAACGTCACAGAACTCCCCAGAAACAAGGAATCAAGAGATTGCACAGAGAAAAGCCACGTGTTTGAAGTAATGTTTTGAGACGTCTCAAAACATTACTTCAGAAACGTCACAGAACTCCCAAGTAACAAGGAATCTAGAGGGTGCAGAGAGAAAAGGGCTATGGCAGGATGAGGCAGGTTGAGCGGGCTTGCACAGAGTGCAGCAGAAAGGGCTGTATGGGCTACAGGTGAGTAACGCATCAGCAGGTAACAAACAGCAGGAGAGGAGCGGGTAACAGAAAGGTGTACAGGATTACATGGAGCAGAGATGAGCAGAGCTGAGGAGAGCGGAGGAGAACAGAGAAGAGCAGAGGAGAGCAGAGCACAGAGCAGAGCAGACGGCAAGAGAAGGCACTGGAGCGCATCTGAGCAAGGGAGGACCAGGAAGGACAAGGGAGGAGAAGGGAGACAAGAGAGGACAATGGACGGCAAGAAGCGCGCACCTGAGCGACGTCGGCAGCAGAGGCGGCGTAGGGAGGGATGGTGAAGACGAGGAAGCGTGATGACATGGCACAGTCGTGCACGAGAGCCACCTCTGGCAAGCCCTGCAGCGCGCCCATGCGCGTGTGCTTCCCGTCCGCTGCAATGGCGAATGGCTGCATGCCGAACAGCACACTGCCAAAGTTGTACAGCTCTGGTGGAGTGTGGCGTGGGGAAGGAGGGCAGGAAGAGAGGACAGGTACGGGAGGTGTGTGGGGACAAGCAGCGGTGGGGGCAGAACGGGAGTTGGGACAGTTTTGGAAGGGAGAAGGGGGATGGGATGGGATTGGGGGCGGGTGGGAAGCACGAGAGCCACCTCTGGCGAGCCCTGCAGTGCGCCCATGCGCGTGTTCTGCCCATCTGCTGCAATTGCGAATGGCTGCATGCCGAACAGCACACTGCCAAAGTTGTACAGCTCTGGTGAGGGGGAGGGGGCGGGGTGGGGCAGGGGTGGGGGTGGGGTTGGGTGGTTTGGCATGGGTCAGGCGGGGGTTGGGATGAGCAGAAAAGAAGATGGCGAATGGCTGCATGCCAAACAGCACACTGCCAAAGTTGTACAGTCGTGCACGAGAGCCACCTCTGGTGAGCTCTGGTGGGGGGAGGAAGGCGGTGGGGTAAGGGGGAGGATGGGGTTGGGGTGAGGGTGAGGCGGAAGGAGGGGTGCCTTTGTTCGGGACAGGTGGGGGTTGAAAAGGGCAGGTTAGGAAAGGCAAGAGGTCCAGTCCAGTTGAGAAGGGTAGGCTGGGAATCTCTGTGACATGACACAGCTGTCAGCCCAGCATTGCTTGGATTTCAATATCATACTGTCTTCTCGCCCGCTTGCTCGCCTGCTTGTCGCTTTTCTCCAGTGGCGGGGATGAGCTTGGGTTCGGCGGAGTAGAAAGGCAGTGGCAGGTCGGGGAAAGAGGAAGGGTTGGATCCAGAACTGTTCATACCAGAAACTCTATGCATTACAGATCTCACCCCCACACATATCAAGTTTTGAGGCGCCTCAAAACTAGTCCAGAACTGTTCACACCAGAAACTCTATGCAGTACAACTCTCACCCCCACGCATATCACACTGCTGCTCGCCTTCTTGCCGCCGCTCACCTGCTTGCCACTCACCTCCAGTGGCGGGATCGAGCTTGGGGTGGGCGGAGAAGAAGGGCAGAGCCAGGTTGGGGAAGGAGTAGGGGCCGAGCGTGCTCAGCGAGAGTGCGTCCAGGAGGAATGGCGGCCCTCCCTCGCACAGCGCCAGCAGCTTGCCTGCAAAGTGGATGATGCTGGTTTGGGGATGGGAGGAGAGGAAAGCGGGGGAGAGTTACAGCAGGAGTGGGTTCAGGAGGAATGGCGGGCCTCCCTCACACAGCGCCAGCAGCTTTCCTGCGAAATGGATGATGCTGGTGGGGGGGAATGGGGGAGGTGGATGGAGGGTGTGGAGAAAAGGGGGGAGTGGGTGGAGTTGTAGAGTAATGGCGAGGCGCCCTCACACAGAGCCAGCAGCTTGCCTGCAAAGTGGATGATGCTGGTGGGGGGGTGGGTGGGAGCAGAGGAAAGCGAGAGAGTGAGTGGAGTCGAGGAGGAATGGCGGGCCACCTTCACACAGAGTCAACAGCCTGCCTGCGAAGTGGATGATGCTGGTGGGGAGGGGCTAGGAGGCCATTCGGGTGGGGTGGTTTTGCGTTGACCCAAAGCAAGGGCTATGGGATGGGGGGAGAAACTTGCGAGGAACAACTCACCATCCCAACATCTTCTCATCGTATCCTCTCACCACCTCACCTGGTGTTGACGGGGTTAGCTGGCAGCCCAACGTTTTTTAGCAGCCCTCCTGCAGTGGCCTGTGTCCACGTACCCTTCACGCGTATCCCCGTGTCCTCCCCCTTCCCCTCCCCTGCTTCCAACTCTGGTCCGCCCCGCTGCTCCAGGGCTGATGTGCGCACCCACTTGCAGACAAACCTTGCTGTACCGTTTGGGCCGTCCAGATGCAAGGCGTAGGCCTGGGATGCGAGGGACGGGTAATTGGGAGAGGAGACGGCGTGGAAACGACGGGGGGGGTGTGTGAGGGAAAGGAGGACTTGGGAGATAAGAGAGCATGGGAGTGAATCAAATGAGTGAGGTTCAACAGTGCTCGCATTTCACCACACTTGCTTTGTCATGTCAACCCCACACCACGAGCACGCTTGCTCCCCATGTCATCCCCACATTGCGCACTCTACACTACAGTCTCTACATGCCATTGCCGTCGAACCAGTGGCCAAACTTGGTCGCGGTACACCGTGCCCTGCAGCGCCTCTCACAATGCAATGCTTACCCTTCTCTCGCACACTCACTCCACTCACACACCATGCCATCGCCATCGAACCAGTGACTGAACTTGGTCCCGCCCACACGAATCCGCCCCGGCCCACAGAGGTACAGCGTGCCCTGCAGCGCCTCTGGTATCCTCCCGGTGACGTGCGCGGGGTTGGAGGGGGAGAGCGTGTAGTCGTCCTCCCCACACGGCTCCAATCCCCCCCTCCATGGCTGCTGCTCTATGGCCTGGGTGGTTGGAGAGAGAGAGAAAAAGAGACATAGGAGGGACGGGGAAGATGGGACGGCTGAGTCGACCCAGTCACCCAGGAGTGTAGTCGTGCTCCCCACACGGATCCAATCCCCCCCTCCATGCCTGCTGCTCTATGGTCTGGGCGGTGGGAGATTGAAGGGAGGGGAGGGGAGTGGGGGAAGGACGATATTAAGTTTGAGTCGACTCAAGAATGCAGTTGTGCTCCCTACCCCACACAAGGCGGATGTTCAAACGGGAGGGACACTCCATTCCAGCATTTTTTATAAACGTCTTAAAACTGGATTATTGTAGCAGGAGCGAGGGAGCAAGGGAGGTTCTAGGAGTGAGAGCGACCCAATCTCGCTGAGAGCAACAGGGCCGTATTACAAGGGAAATTGACTCGTGGCAACATGCAGCTGCAGCTACACCACCTTGCGATTACGAGACGGCTGGAGCTACAGCTGCATCGTCATGAGACTACGAGACAGCTCGAAACTGCACCAACGTTTGAGACTCTCCCTGATACCAGGATGGTCCTCGCGTGGTTAATGCGCAGCAGCGCACCTGTCGAGCCCATTCGGGGGGTTACAGCGGACCGGAGGACGGCAGCGGAACGCGGATGGTTCGAGGGGCACGCCGTTCGGACGGGGACTGCTGCGCGGGCTTCGTTGCCACCCTTCCGCTCCGTTTCCCGCCGCTGGTTCGCGTGCCGACGCGGCCGCTCTTGCCAGTGCGCGCGGCAGCTTGAACGCGAGAATTTGACCGGATGAGACCGTCTAAACAAATTCTTGAAGCCTGCCGACTCGGGAACGGATTAAGGCTGGCTGACCAGCTCAGGCTGACTCCGTGTTTTGCGCTAAGACCGTCATATTGACGTTTCGGGTGAGGATGCGGAACGGAGCACTGAACACTTGGCTTCACCGAGATCATGCTTTGCTGGCTTCGTAATGCTGTACGAGATATACACGCCACGTGCACAGGAGAGCACGTTACACGAGGCACAAGGCGGAAGCTTTACTACTAGAATGCTGGGAGGCTGTGAATGCGGGCTTGAGGGAGAATCCCAGGGGTGAACATTGGGAGTTCCGTTTTCCGTTATTGCACGAAATACGTGAACGTGTAAGGAAAATCCTTTTTCCTTACTTCAGCGCGTACACCACTGTTCCCGCCAACAGCACCCCACAATAATCCGTTACCACTCGCGACATTCTCCTCGACCCCGTTCCCGCCACTGTTCACGAGGCGACCCAGCCTCACGGTTCGACTGGTAACCCACGCTCCGGACCTCCGCCTCGACATTTCCCAACCTCTGCACCAGGCCCGTCGCGCACCCCAATTTCCACACGTTACCGTTACCAATGTAGCTTCGCTATATATTCTTCGCTCAATCATTCACTCATTGTATTCTTGTCTCGATAGTGCAATCCTCGCTCGCTCACTCAATTGCACTCGTAACATAACGACACTTTTGACACGTAGCATATTGAATCTTTATCCTGTCGACCAAAACATCCCAATCCCAACATCACCTTTCCCTACAACTTAGTGTACAAATTAAGCTGCATGAAGGATTGCATCATGGTGTAGCAGGGGTATAAATCATTCACGAATTCCTCTGCGGAGGGGAAACCTTTGGTGAGGGTGGGAGCTGTCCGTGTGTCACCAACAACCTGAAATCGTAGTGCTTTCGCTAGTTACCAAGCTGGTTCTTTCGTCATAACCTGAATGCCTTCTACATTGTGGCTGCATGGGCGGCTGTTGGTAGCGAGTGCGTTACGGGTCTGAACGATTCGCGGCAATCACCAGATTCCTTTCGGGCGTCACAATCTGGTTAGTTTCGCCACAAAGGGCCCTCGAAGTTCTGGCCACGCAGTTGTGTCTGGCACGCCCAAACTCTGTGAAGTTGCCCGACCTGAAAAACGGCAAGTAGTGCAAGGCCCAGTTCGGCAGGCATTATGGCCATTATGGTCATTTTGGGCATTTTTAACGGGCCCCCAAAAAATGGCCCCTCGAAACAGCTGCGAAGTCAGACTGTAGCTGCAGTTTAACTTCGGAAGAATGGGCCCGACTGTTCGGTTGGCATTAAATGGGCCTGGATTAACGGCATCAACCGAAAATGACACTTCGCAGAAGCTCGCATGCAGCTGCGCTGATGGAGCTCAGAATCACTGTACTGGCAGCACGGGCAGCCATGCAAACCAGTGGTGGACGTCGAAAAAATTCGGGCAAGAGAATCTGTGCGTTCGATGTGTTAGTGAAGGTGTGTTGGTGATGTGCGATTTCCCAGCGGGCAAAATGAGGGGCATGAAAGACCGGGATTTGTTTTTGTCAGGGCAATGTGTGATTGCCCCGAATCACTGATACCCCGTGTGGGGGGGGGTCTCGAGGCAGTATGGTGCGGCGTATCAGAAAATGGAGCATTTGCCTGGGAAATAGGGTTCGAGGAAGATTCCTCTGGTAGAAAATGCCAGCGTCAAAGGGGGTGTTCGGCTGGCATTCCATTATTGTCTGGTTCGGCGATGATCCGCTTATATCGAGCCTAGATAACCTTTCACGCGCTTATCAAAGAAGGTTCCAGGGTGGTTGGTTTACTGTATTCTAACCGGGGAAACCGTTTTTTTAATGCCTGCCGAACTGGGCCCAAAGGAGGTTCCGCACCACCACGCAACAACCAAGTCCTTGGATAATTCTGCATTGTAGCTGTAGCGAAATCCCTGAACTCCGGGGAATTGGTGAAGCATCATAGGTGTGATTTGGTTGGCGTGAAAGAGAGTCACGTCATCATCGTCGAGGGTGGCGCCAAGTAAAGTCGTCCGAACCGCAATCGAACGGCGGCGAAGCAGCTGGCTGAGATCAACGATGTGAAACTATTTTTCTATTGAATGGGGCAGCGGAAGACGGGGGACGGGGAAAGCCAAACGCTTACCTCAGGGCCCAGTTCGGCAGGCGTTAATTTCGCAGGCTCGGGGACAGGCTACAGTAAACCGACCACCCTGGAACCTTCCGTCATAACCGTCTGAGAGGTTATCAAGGCTCGATATAAGCGGATCTACTCCGAGCCTGAGCGGTTGAAAACGCCAGCCGAACAGCCCTCTAAATGCTGGCGTTTTCAGCCCTTCGATGCTTCCAGGAATCCGTCGCCCCTGGCAAACAGACGCACCAGTGATCCGCCGCATGGTCCATCGTCGAGAGCCACCACCATGCGGCGGATCACTGATCCGGGGCAACCACACCATGCCCTGACAAAAACAAACCCCGGCTTTCATACCCCTTTTCTTGCCCATTCAAAACATTGAGACTCAACCACACTTCCACAAACAATTCAAACACATCATCCACTCGTATTAGGGCTGAAATATGTTGCTCACGGCTCTAGAGGTAAGAGTCTTGCCTTGGCGAAATGTGTCTGGTTCCTTCAGCGTAGGAGGACGAGGTTGGAGGGGTGCGTTTCCCCTATCGGAATTTTTTTCGCCAGGAGAAACAGTTGTCAGGGCAGTTAACAGAGATTGTGCGATCCAGCAGAGCAACTGCACTCTGGCCTCTTCGAATGTTCAGCGCCCATAACGCCATCATTGTTAACGCCTGCCGAACACTCAACCCCATTATTCCGAAGTTACAAAGCTAGCGCATCTTGGCTTCGTCGTTATTTCGACCCGGCGTTTTTCGAGGCCTGTTAAAAAGGCCATAACGCCCATAACGCCAGCCAAACTGGGCACAGGGTAACAAGCAAAAGCAAGCCGCGCGCCCACGCAACTCGAAAGTGTGGCTTGGGGAGGGTGGCGACCACGCAATTTCCACGGAGGCTAGGGGTAGGTCGGGATAGAGGTGCAGGACACGCTTGTATGGTACGGTGTGTTCGGCGCCTGGTTGGGAAGAATTTCGCGATAAAGGTTCTCGTAGAGGGACAGCAGCAGGCCCAGGGAAAGGGAGCAACGGAACGTCACCGTTTCGAACAGAAGCTAGATGCGAATGATGCCTCCTATCTCCACAAAATTGTTTTTTCACTGACACGCACACTGACTGTGGGAATAGCAGTAACACCGCGCCAACACCGGACTACCAAGACAGCCACTGTTTCCTTCATCATGGCTCCCGAATCCTGAGCCTCTGTAGTAACGCGTGTGAAGCTTACTAATTCAGTAAGCTTTGTTACTTGGTGACGAATGTTCGCCTCTATCGGATTGAATGCGAACGCCTGTGAAGCCGGCGACTGTCACATAGAGCTACTACCATCGGATCGAATGCGAACGCTTGCTAGGGAAGGAATAGGAGTTTTGCGGCGGCCTCCAAATATTTTGATCTGACTTTGCAACGCCCTCAGGATGTATGAAAAACAGATGGCGAGTCCAACGAGGCCAATCATGGATACGCACCCGGGCCGTGACACCACCACATCCATCTGGCGAAGAACCACCAGCTCGCGGCACGCCAGAAGCGCGACATCGATGTCCGACATCATGAGCCGTATCGAGGAGACTGCAGAGGTCGAAAGCGGTGGCGGTCCCGTGAAATCCACTATCCCCACGCCTGATCGTCAGCTGCCTAGGCTGCAGCGGTGTTCACCCGCTCGAGAAGACCATTTGAAAGGCTTCCACTGGCGGCGACTGCAAGTCTTGCATCATAGTAGTAGGGGCAATCATCAGACAATCTGTCGGCGGTTTTCTTGCCCAGACAATCTCGCGGTTTTCTTACTAATTCGCATCATCCAATGAGTCATGATACCGAAGACGACTCGGACGTTTTCTCGACGAAAGATGAGTTTCCGGTGAAGTCGACGTTCGAGAAACTCGCGGATGATGGGCCGACAACCAATGGTTTCGAGAACCGGCCTGTTTCCTCAGGTGGCACTCGCCGATGTCGAAGCTGGTTATTTTCACCTGCGCAAGGGGAGAGGGTGTGTTCATCGTCCCTTTCCGCCTTGCCGCCTTCTTACCCATCGAAGTTCTGCTCTCGTCATCACACCCGACAGTCTGAACCAAGTCAGGCTCTCAGCAGCAGCCCGGCGTTCAGCAGCAGCCCGTGCAGCTCCTGGAGCAGCAGCAGCAAGAGCTCTCCATCGGTCTCACCGCAGAACAGCTTCATACTTGCTGATAACGTGACGCCGCGGAAGCTTGACCTGTGCAATCCCAGCCGTCCGTCATCTCCATTCTGCAAGCCGCCCCCCCACCCTCCATCCACGGCTCCTCCAAACCCTGAGAGTATTGGCGTTAAAGGGAGTTCGTCTGATGTCAGTCTTAACAGAGTGGACGTTTCACTACTGCACTTGCTTCTGGCCAGCTTCCTTGGATGCATTGCTATTTTCCCGCCGAAGCACCTCATGGTGCTACCTGTCATGTGGAGGATCTTCGTTGGAGCGAGCTTCATCGTAGTGAGCTTGGTTTCTTTAATGTTGCTCCTCTTCAAGGGGCATGCAACAGCTGGTGTTGGCAACATGGCCGAGACAATTTTCACAACTTTCCTGAACAGCACCAAGGCTACTGAAGTACAAGAGATTCAAGCTTCTTCCAAAAATGAAGTGGATGCTCTGGGGCTTGGCATGCTGGAATGTTGCGGAGGTCTGGATCTGTTTGCATTGCC